GGCTCGGCCCGTCTCTGCCATGCCCGGCCCGCAGTGGGAACGCACCGGCCGCATTCGTTGGCAGTTAGGACCGAGGACACCCCAGCCCCCAGCCCCCGCCGCGCAGCGGACACCCCACCTGGCAGTTCTTACCCCCTCCACCGCGTAACTCCTGCGTCTGGGGCAGACCCGAGTCCCGCTGCGGCGCCGCAGGGCGGGGGTGCTCCCCGGGAGGAGAGGTTGGAGAATGCGAAGGGAGAGGGGGTCGGGGATAAGGAGGGAGGGAGCTTTCTAGGTTTGTGTATTTGGGGGGGTCAGAGTTCGTGACCCCTCTCTCGGCTCGGCGGAGTTTGCTCCCGTCGCGCTTGCGCGTTAGCGATGTGGAGCAGCAGCCGGAGGAGGTGACGTTCTCCGGGTCGGGTGGAGAGAGCGGAGCTTCGAGCCGCGGCTTTGAAAGTCGACTACCCCCTACCGACTCGGAGGGAGACTGCCCCGCCAGAGCGGCGCGTGCCCATCGGGTACTTTGAGAAGCCACGTGTGTTTAGCATGTTTGTCAAAGAAGTTCTAGGTCGACGTTTCAGATCTGAGTAATAATAACCTGATAGGCTTTAGGCAGCTCTATTTATAATTCCTGGAGAACTGGGGTCTGTTATAAGTTCTCCTATTACCTTAGACTCTAATATTCATTAGAGAACTAATATGTCTGGGTAGATTCCAATCAGGTATTGGAACTTCTCTCGTTAGAAGGATTAGCTGAGGCAAAATTATGTATGAATGTAGTAAGGCAGAGTTCTACTTACTAATTATTTTGCATGAAGAGACTTAATGGCTAAATCAGTAATAATCACTAGAATGTATGCTTCTCAAAGGCAGTGTGTTCTCTAGCATAGGGGACATGCCAGCTGGGCAATAAATATTTGTGTTTTGTTTTTGTTTTTTGAGAGTTTTTTGCTATAGGGCGTGTGCACTCTCCAGACAGACAGAAAGCAAGAAATCACCCCCCAGGGGCGATGGCCACGCTGCAATCCCTTCTCCATGCTCCTCTAGGGATCTTGGGCACGCACACACACGTGCCTGGTGTGAGTTTTAAGCCACTGGGTTCGGGACATGAACTGCGGTTGACTACATGGGAGTCCAGCGACATAGCCATTATGCTAACTGCTGGTGCCTGGGCAATAAATATTTGTAAAGTCAAAGTACTGACAGCATCACACTCTGACAGTGGCCACCTGTGGTAGCAAGGTGTGACGTGAAAAACAACCCTGTGTGCAGAGCGCTGTGTGGTTTAGACTTTAAAGAGTCCTCAAAATTTCTATTGTATTTAGCATAACTCAACATTGTAAAAAAGGATCCAAAGATTTAGAAAAGAAACCCAAGATTAGGGGATTAGCAGGTGACGTGGTGTTTAAAGGTGCTGGACTCCCACATGGCCAAGAGCAGTCTGAGTCCTCGACCTGGTAGCTTGCATTCTCACTTTCCCTCTCTCTCTTTCTCTGTCTCTCTCCAATCAAACTGGAAAATAATAATAATAACAATAAAGTTAAAATAATTCTTAAAGAAAAAGAAACCCAAGTATTTGCTGGGAACAAGACCATCTGTCAAAAAAAAAAAAAAAAAAGACTGTCATTTTCCTTGAAGTAGGCAACTAGACATGGAGAAAGAGTATGCTACATTCCCTAACACTAGAAACTTGCTTTATGCTTCACTCTCTAAAAGTCTACCTGTATCTTTCAGCATCACTTGTTTTGTGTTTGGTTTCGTTTTAAGACAGTCCACCCACCACCTCCGTATCTTTAAGCTGGTCCCAAAGGTAGAAGTTATTAGAGTACACTGTTGGTCCAATGGAAATAGCAAACAGACCTCACTATGCTTATGGTGGTACTTGTGGTTATCCCTTACCATTCAATTAAGTCACTTACATCACAATAAGCTGACTTACTAAAACTTGGAAGTAGAAGGCATTTTGAGAGTCCATTTGTGGGTCTTGTAGTTTTTCCTCAATTATCTTTAGGAAAAGAGGTCAGTGAGGTTTATACTTAAATGTATGATTCTATTTGTTAATTTATCTGTCATCAAAAGAGCACTTTGCCTAAAAGAAAGGTCTGAATAGTGTGCAAAATGTTTACACACTTTTGTGAAAATTGTAGTTTTCATTAATTTGTAAGCTATTGTTATATATATCACTTTTATTTTTGGTACATGTCAAATTGCAACTGAAAATTTAGTTTGTTAATTTTTAAAAAATAATTATGTTTTATTTAACTTTACTTATTTTAATGACCAGAAAAGGACAAAGTATGTATAGTGAGAGAGAGAGAGAGAGAAAGTCAGCTACCAGGTGTGGGACTTGAACCACGGTCAGCCAGATCAGAGTCTAGAACCCTTGCCAGCCCACTCAATGTTTTTATTGAATGAACTGAATAAAGCTTTTGTTTAATTAAAATAAAATAAAAAAAGTGTGACTCTAAAAATGGTATGGTTTGGGTCAGGTGATGGCACAGTAGAAATGCAACTGGACTTATATGGGAGGGTCCTGAGTTCACATCCCCGTGCGCACGATGAGGTGTGTGCTTGCCTGCCTGGGATCCAGGCTGGCTGACACTGGGTGAACTGTGGCATGAAGACCCTGATGAGGATGCTTTTCTCTCTGTCTGTCTTTGTAACACAAATAAATGGGGAGAAAAAAGAAAGAAAAGAAAAATGAAAGACATCATTGCACTAGCAGTAGATATAGTCAATTTATTTTGTATAAATATAATACATATTAACATATTTACAATGCTAATTTTTATTTATAAAAGATCTACATTTTTATATGAACAATAACATACAAACTATTATCACTTGCAGTAAAAAGTATTTCTAGAAATACATTATGTCATTAAAAAAACAAGAATATTTCAAGATTGGTTCTTACATGATGACTAACTCATATGAAAGCTTCCCCCCATCTTCCCTTTCCCCATCCCAAAGAAAAAATCATTTGATATTTAAGCTTTTTGAAAATCTCCTACCTTTAGTTGTTTTTTGTTTTGAATCCTAGTAGAAACTCTCTCTTTTCTTATAAAGAAAAAAGACATTTTTCCTTAAAATGTTTTCCTTCAGCAAGTGGCGTTAAAAGTAGCATATGCTCCGGAATCAGTAAGTGTATTGGAGGTGCTTTATCAAAAATTCCTTAATTCATAGGAATTTAATTCTAAAAAAAAAATTCCTTAATTCATAGGAATTTAATTCACCCAACAGATACTCAGTGTCTCCTACACACAAGGCACTTTGCCAAATGTTGTGGGGAACTGCAAAAGAACAAGAGAAGCTGCTCTCAAGGACAGGATGTGATAAGTACCATATGAAAGTTTATCAACTAAATAAAGGCTATGGGAGCATGGAAGGAGAAACTGGATCTGGTCTGGAGGAAGGGGGAAATGATAGACTACGATCAGGTGTCAGAAGTCTTGGCTAAATAGGGTGGAGGTGGGTTAGATAATAGGGAAAAGAACAGTGTGAACAGGAAAAGGCTGGGTTGGAGTTAGCTGGAGTATGTGATTCCTGAGGAAGTGTGCTATGCCACGCTAGAAAGCCACCGTAAGACTATGGATGAAGCCAGATTAGAACTATGCTCTAAGAAAGACTGTTTTGGCACTTTGGGACCACACAAAGAAGGCACTAAATCAGAGCAAAAGTTACTGTAGACGTTGGGAACAGGTAACCAGGACTTGAGCCAGGGACTGTGCAGTGACCACAGAAACAAAATGATGGGAAGGACGCAAGAGCAGTTGCAGAAAGTCTTCTTGAGACTTGGGAGCGGGTTCTGGAGCTTCAAATGGTGTCTTTTTTTTTTTTTTGGAGAGATTTTCACTGTAGGGCGCGTGTGCTCGCCAGACAGAGAGAGACATAGAGACAGAAAGCGAGAAATCACCCCCCAGGGGGGATGGCCACGCCGCAATCCCTTCTCCTCCATTCTCCTCCCGGGATCTTGGGCACGCACGCACACGCGCCCGGCGTGAGTTTTAAGCCACCGGGTCCGGGACACGAACCGCGGTTGACTACGTGGGAGTCCAGCGACATAGCCATTACGCTAACCGCTGGTTCCCCAAATGGTGTCTTTTATAGAGAATATAAACAGGTTTGAATGAAAAGAAACTGAATTGAGTTTAAAAGGCTTGAGGACTCATGTAGATATCCAACAGGTACTTGCAAGTAGGGTCCTGAAAAATGGTGAAGGGAGCTGTAGGTATAAGATCTGAGTTATAATGAGGGCAGTTGGAGGCTGTGTTTCTGTTGTAGATGACAACAATCCTGTTTGCACTTTCTACTATTCAACTAAACCAATGTCTTCTCTTTAAAGACCCAGGGCAGGGCTCTAGGAGAAATGGATATACTAAATACAGTGTCTAACCTCAGGGTCTATAAACTCCAGGAAGAGAAACAGGACTAGGATGGATCTCAAACTTCAAAGCTGAGCATAGTGGAAGCATACTCTAAGATGTATTGACAGCAACATATGCTGTGAGAACATTTACATTTTAACTAAACTACCAAGTGGGAATCCTCATTTCAAGATAAACTCTACCAACCTAATATACAATACATTTTTTCCAATGAAACTGTATTTTAAAGTGACCTTCCTTCACTTAATTTGTTTCATTACAGCTTTCTATGAATCACGGTTCATTCTGATCTCATTGAAAGAAATGCTACTGAATACTCAGACTCACGTTTTTGGCTGAAGGGGAGAGAAGTATTTGGGATCGCCAAAGGACAATTAGGAGAATCCTGGGTACATTAGAGAAAAAAGGTTGAGTTGGGAAGACATTCAGAAATGTGAGATGATGCCAAAGACTACCTTTTTCATTTTCTTACTATTCTGTGAGGTCCTCTACAGTTATAGTAGCTTCTACAGACAAAGGAGGATCTGTGATTGGACACCCAAAGAATGCAGGCCTTTCCCCACATTAGCCTATCATCTCTTATCTAGATTATTTTCATTATCTGTTTTAGTTTACCTTTATAATTGACCTTTTCTCTCCTCCTTATGAATAAAAACAGTACATAATGAAGCGTTTGATGGTAGTACGTGTATCTGTCTAATAAATGTAGCATTCCTGGTGCCTAGATACTTTCCCCCTCATTTGTAGACTACACTCAATTTTATCCTTCTAAAATATTAGCTATCAAGTGATATTTTGCTTTTATTACATATTGTATATAATTAAGTTCCCGTTTGACATCGAACAAGTCTGGTTAGATAAATGACAACTGATCAGCTTTTATGAGCTATGAAGGACTGATAAAAGGGGAAAGAATGTAATATTATTCTACATTTAAGACATCTTTATGGAGGAGGATGCACTGATAGTTTTTCAAAGTAATATATTTTATATTTTACAAAATCCTCTATGGTGCCAAGCCAAGAGCTTATACTCATATATGACTCTCACATGTAATTCAAGAGAATTACTATAAATTTGTGCCAGGTTTCTGTGGTTTCTTGTCTCTCACTCTGTAGATTTAAAACTTGTTCTTCTTTTTAAAATTTGTATTTATTATTATTATGTTTAATTTGCTATAGGGCATGTACACTCACCAGAGAGAGACAGAGAGAGTGAGAAAGCAAGTTGCCAGGTCCGAGACTTGAACCGCAGTCTATCATGTGGGAATCCAGCACCTTAACCACCACATTACCTGCTGGCCCTAGAACTGGTTCTTGATTTAGTCAAGTGGTGGGAGGTAGAATAGCCTAGCTCAGATTTTTTTAGATTCTAAGACTAAAACCAAACTCTATGGTCAGACGGAAAGCTCAAGTGGACGGGAGGAACCCTGAATAGCTTGTGGTCTGGCTAAATGCCAGATTTAATGCAGCAGAAGGAAATGCTTTACAAGGCATAACCTTGACTTCCAAAGAGAATATGCTAAAAACGGCAGGGATTTTAACGGAAGTCTTATTCATATGATCTTGATTAAATTAGCGAGCTACATAGAAACAGTAGTTATCTGCCGTGACAGAGGACTTGGGAGAATAACATGTTAGGATTGTGTGTGAGGTTGCAACAGGGTTTGAAATTATTCCATAGCAAGAAATAGTGAGAAAAAACTACAGCAGCCAACCCTGGAGCTACCAGGGTCTCTGGCACTGTGGCAGAGAGCATCCCTTCAGAAAGGCACTCAGCAACCTCCTCCCTGGTATTGTTAAGAATCACTCTGAATTAGGCAATGCTTCATTTAGAAGCAGAAAGTAAAATTCTTATATGAAATAATGAACTATTTTATGGATAATCTAGCTTAAGATAATTTAATGCTTTAAGTACAGTCAATAAAATATATTATAAACACGGGGATAACTTTAAATCATTGTGTTTATTTTTCTTCTGCTAATCAACAATTTATATGAGATAAATTTAAATCATTGTGTTAACTTTATTTTTCTTCTGCTAATCAACAATTTATATATAAGGTAGTTTACCTTAAACAATAAGTGCACCAGAGTTATGAATATAATTTTTTTTCTAACGAGGTGCACTGACAATTGGTTAAAGAAAGGGTTTATTTGTTTGTTTTAAGTTACCAGGGAGAACATATCACAAAGTAATATACAAAGATCTTTAAAAAAATGAATATTACACAATTTCAGTTAATACTGGCTTAGAATTTGTGCTTTTCTGATGTTAATTCCAGTTCACTTTTAAAAGCACAATATTACAGGAAATGTAGCATTCTTTTTAGATACAAATATTACCACAGACTTGGGCTCAAAACTCTTACAATAGCAAAGGATTATTATGTAATATAAAGTTTGTCATATTTTGCTATTAAAAAATAATTCATTTCTGCCTGTGTTTAACTGGTAGGTTTGAAAAAAGATTAGACTTAATGAAAAACCCTTAAGAGTTGATTATCTGTGGCCTTCTGCACATGAAAACATCCTCATCCCTGCTCACAGTTTAAAAAAAAATTAGATGTATTTTTAAAAATTCAGATTTATCCTTTTGCTATAATTCTTTGATGATGTAATATTAACTCAAGCCCAAAGAGGTACTAACAGTGAAATATTTTAGATAATTTACCAGGAATTTCATTTCACAGTTACTGAGGTAGAAGCTGGCCATGTATTTTCCCATTAAAGGATACAAAAATTCATCCAATTTTACTGATTCAAAGACATGCATTTGTCATAAGCAGTTGTATAATAATCATCATTTCTAAACCAAGCACCGCATGGAAATATGCTCCTTGATATGTGTTTTTTTGTTGTTGTTTTTGTTTTTACTTACAAAGATTTAACACTGGTGAGAATGTTATAATGTAAGGTAGAAAAAACAGTGTGGACTGTGTCACAAACAGTTAATACAGTATACAGTATTAAGTTAAGTTTCCTGGTCTTTACAGAAACTAGAATTCAGTGTGAAGCTCAGAAATAATTCTGACCATTAAGTAAACATCAAATTTCAAATAAATAACATACATGAAAAAAAACAAACATTAAAAAATTATACTCAACAAAATAATTTCTTCTATCTGATGAAGAGTTTATGATTGGATTTATCTTGGCAGTGTTCATTTTTATAAAACATTTGAATTGCTTTTACTCCATTCTGATGAAAAGTCCACCTCTTCAGAATCACAGAAGAGATGAAATCAATACTGCTACAATACTGTGCCTTCCTGAAATGCTTCTATCCACCTATTGATAAAAGACATTTGTTAGATTTATAAAACCCAATTATTTGACATATGTTGAATGCAATATATATAAGAGCTGGGTCTGTGGACCTGGTTACCTTAACAGCATATATAAGATTTTCCCTCTAGCAAACTGGAATTCTGCAAACATGGAACTACTCTTTACTTGGTACTTTTGATATGGAAGGACCCTGAATTCATGAATAACTCAGGGTTGATAGTTGCCTAAAGTTTCTGCCCTCTGGGGAACTTACTCCCCCCACACACACACACACACATACCTCTGTCCCCCACTCCAGTTACAGGGTAACCTGAAAACCTTGAATAGTTTAGTACCTTGAATAGTTTAGTACCTTGAATAGATTAGACTTCCTGCTTCTCTGCCTCCTCCCTTTGACTGTGTAGGGTGGGTTCTGAGCCCCTTCTCCATTCCTAACATCCCCTTCCCCAATTTTCCTGTAAAGAGCCATGTCCAACCCCCATTGGGGGGCGGGAGATTCAGAGTGTTAACTCTTCTGTGCCCGCTGGCATAATAAATAGTTCTCCTTATCTTTCCAAGTGCTGCTTTTCGTTTCTTGGTGTCTGGTTTTCTGCAACAATTTGGTTCAAACTTTAGCCTGAAAAGTGTGTCTCATGGCATAAGTCATGAAGAAGGGACTATTTCATGTGTAAAAGCTCTGTTTAGTTCTAATGCTCCCATTTAATTGTTTTTGGAAGAGGATATATTAGCAAATGTTTTTATTACAATTCCTTTCCTCCCGTTATCTATCAGTTCTGCCTTAGTGGTTTTCACTAGCTATTTCTCTTCTCTCAACACTACCAATGGAAGTTTCTTTGGATACCCCCTAGTCAGACCTATTCTAATATCTTCAGTTAAAGGGATTCTGGTATCTAGTACACTCTCAGTTGATCATAATTTTACATGTAATATAAAACTTTGAAATTTTTATAATAAAATTTCATAGAAGCCTTTCCAAGATTCTTTAGTGTAAAATAAAATCTTATCTGACAACATACACAGCTATAATTATCCCAGAGACACCTGGGGTAGTCTCTTTCTCCTCTCTATTAGCACAACTACTGATACTTCTGAAATTAAACACACTTTTCCTTTCTTAATGAAATAAAATTTCTTAGAGTAATTTTTTGGAGGCATTTTTTGCTATAGAGTGTATGCACTTGCCAGAGACAGAGAGATGGAAACCAAGAAAACACCCTAGAGGGGAGATGGCCATGCTGCATTCCCTTCTCCTCCATTCTCCTCTTGGGATTTTGGGCACGCATGCACAAGTGCCTGGTGTGAGTTTTAAGCCACCAGATCCAGAAGGCAAATGATGGTTAATTTTGTGTGAGTCCAGCAATGTAACCATTATGACATCTGCTGGTCCCATTTACAGTAATATGTTACACAAAGAAAGAGACCATGGAACTATAGACACTTGAAATCATTCAAATTAGTCAAAATACCCAGTAACAGATTCAGCTTGAATTTTCAAAACTTTAAATTGAGTATAAATGCAAGTTATACCATAATAGCAAGGATTTAAAAAACTCCTAAATTCTACCAAAGTTAACACATTTTAATCATCTACCATGTACTCAAAATGCATCCCATACTATTAATAACCTCAATGATGGAGCCAGCAGGTAGTATGGTGATTAAGACATTGGACTCCCACGTGGCCAGCTGCAGTTCAAGTCCCAGACCTGGCAGCTTGCTTTCTCAGTTTCCCTCTCTGTCTCTGGTAAGTACATGTGCCCTATAGCAAATTAAAAAATAATAATAAATAATTTTAAAAAAATACCTCAATGAGAAACTTAAAATTTAGCCTAGACCAACTATAAATGACAAGTAAGCTGATTTCCTTTACTTAGTCACATTGAACTCTTTCTTTCTTTTAGATTTATTCAACTTTATTTATTAGTATTATTTTTTTAAGTTGACCAGAGAAAGAGAGAGAGAGGGAAAGTGAGAAAGCAAGCTGCCAGGACCAGGACTTGACTCACGGTCGGCCATGTGAGAATCTAGAGTCTTTAACCACCACACCAACTACTAGCCCCCAACCCACATTTAATTCTTGTCTTGAGGGCATTTCTATAATAAAAGAAACAAAAAATAATATATATTGAAAAGCAGTAATTTTTATCAGTTTGATGACTGAATCCAGATAAAATTTATGAAAAAGATAACGTCTCACAGAATCTTTGAGTGGTTACTCTTTCAGTGTTGTTTAAATTTTTGCCAGAGGGCGCATATGCTCAAAGGAGTGGGTTTGGGTGAGAAAGCATCCCCCACAGAGGATGGTCATTCCTTAATCCCTTCTCATTCATTTCTCCCATATTTCAGGATTCTGGGCACATACATGTTCTCAGCATGTTTCTCAAGCTGCCAGGTTTGGCATTTGAACCACGCAGTTGGCCATGTAGGATTCAGCTGCCTTAATCACCACATCATGGGCTAGACAGGCAATTACTATTTTGTCCAAGTAATTTTTACAGAAAAAAAAGTTAATTTTTAAATATTCTTCTGTACTCCCCCCCCAGATTATTTTGAACAGCTATACACTGCTGTATATCCTAAAATAGAGTGAAAAAAGAGTCTATTATATAGAGTGTAATGTTATAACTGGTTGGTATTAAGGAACATTTGCAATTCTGGTATGTTATTCCTAATGTCCTTAAACTGCAAGCCTTGGGACCAGCAGTTGGTGTAACAACTATGTCGCTGGACTCCCATGTAGTCAACTGGGTTGGAGTCCTGGACCCGGTGGCTTAAATTCATGCCAGGTGCGTGTGTGTGTGCGTGCATGCGTGCCTGCCTGCCTGCCCAAGATCCTGAGAGGAGAATGGAGGAGAAGGGATTGTGGCTTTGCCAAGCCCCGCGGGGGGGGGGTTTCTTGGTCTCCCTCTGTCTTTCTCACAAGTGCAAGCGCCCTATAGCAAAAATCTCTCTCTCAAAAAAAAATAAAATAAAAAATAAAAAAATAAATCTGCAAGCCTTTCTACACAAAGCACTCCATATCTCTGTGAATTTTTAAGGCCACTGAGAAACATGAGCACCTCTTTCTAAAAACAAAAAAGGATGTTTTGCGAGGCCAAGGTATAAATCAAATGAAAGAGGGACCTTGATTTCTCAAAGTGAGAGAGAGAAGCATCTTTGTGTGAATTAACCCCATAAGATTCTTGTCGGAATTTTGAAGAGACTATTTCAGCCATTACCAGCTAACACGATACCCAGTTCCTTCTATTCAGTCACTGGGAACAGCATGGGAGCCTCTTAATGTGTTTGACCTTTTCCCCAAAGCAGCAGCGGCTTAATCTCCCACAGTTCCATGGCATGACTGAATCACTGGATTGCCAAAGTCCTGGAATGTTTCAAGGGAAGATTCTTACCCTCACTGAAAGAGGTCAAATGCCTCTGTTTCCCTCCCCTTCAGCAGAGGAGCACCATGCTGCCTTCTCCGAGGTCATGTGGAGGCAAAACACATTGGACAGGATTACCTATTTTCTTCTCCCCATTGTCTCCTAAAATATTCCAGACACCACTGTCTTCTTTTAAAACAATTCTGAAGAATTTGAATAATATGGTAAATTTTTCTAGCTCAGTCTTGGACTTAAAGTTCTCAACATAAACTGCCTTAACGTAGGTTATTTAAAAATCAGTCATGGCGACTAGCAGATGGCATAATGGTTAGGTTGCTGGATTCCCACAAGGCTGACACCAGACCCAACGCTTTCAAACTCATGAGGGACATATGTGCATGCATGCCCAAAACCCTGAGAGGAGAACAGAGAAAGAACTGTGGCGTGGCCATCTCTCCTGTGGGGAGATTTCTCGCTTTCTCTGTCTCTTTCTGGTGACTGCAATGCACCCTATAATAAAAATCTCTCCCAAAAAATTCGTAAGAGAACAACTTGAAATCTTACATATAAGAGTACGTGTAAATTACTTACTTTTGAGCTGAGTGAGCATCATCTGCTTTGAATACATAAAATAACATGTTTTTGTGTAGTAATTGAAATACTTTAGATTCTGAATTCTCGTCTTTGACTTGAGTGACAGTGAATCCCAACAAAGGCTGACTCTCCAAAGCTGCCACATCCTTATTTCAAAATACACAAATGGAGAGGGTTTTTAGATTGAAACAAATTTCAGATGTGAAAACTCTTGATCTATATAGTTTTCATGTACTTTCATACGCACATATACAAAACCATCATAGTTCTAACAACTTGCTCATCTTTCATTTATTCAGAAATACTTACTGAGCCACCCCCCACACCTGCCCTATGTCATAGTATGCTAGACAACCCGCACCACATGCTTGTCCATTATTTTCCCTGGAACCGAGGAAGGCAGGTGATGATACTATTTTCCATTTATGGACAAAGAAAACAGCTCAGAAAGGTAAGTGATTTGCCCTGATCCCAGTAATCTAAACAGAAAAGGGACAGTATTAAAGTGAACAACCTATACATTGTTTAAGCCACTGGGCCCAGGACTCGAACTGCGGTCGGCTACATGGGAGTCCAGCAACATAGCCATTACGTGAACTGCTGGTCCCCACACATATACATTGTTTATAACTGAAATAAAGCCTATCTTTTCTATGCTGATCCCTGATCGATACAACTGAATCGTCAAGGGAGTGCCACCCAAAGAGAACTCAGAAATAAGAAGCACCTCTGCCTTTAGTGAACTAGGTCACTAGTCACGTGACTCCAAAAATGTTTACATTTTAATATTGTACAATGGAAAGTTTGAATACACATGAGGAAGAGCTCTCCAGGTATAAAGCATAAACATGGTCCACATTAGAATAAATGCAAATGGCTGGCAGGTGGTGGGTGGTTAAGGTGCTAGATCCCAAATGGTGGACTCTGCTGTTGGAGTCCTAGATCCGGTGGCTCGAAAAAGATGCCAGGTGCTTCTGTGTATGTGTGTGTGTGTGTGTGTGTGTGTGTGTGCCCAAAATCCCAAGAGGAGAACGGAGAAGCAGGGATTGCAGCGTGGCCATCCTCCCTGGAGGGTGACTTGTTACTTTCCTTCTCTCTGTATCGCTCAGGCTAGTACAAGCATAAATATGGCGAAAATCCATAAATAAATAAATAAATAAATAAATGCAACAACATTTTCCCTTGCAAAAAAAAAAAAAAGATTCTCAAAATATTATAATTATTTCCAGTTAACATTAAAAAGTAAGATCCCCATATTACTCCTTTTCAGACTTTGTTCTTACCTCACTCGCAGCATATGTGTATAATACTTTATTCTTTATGACAAACCACAAATGCTTCCAAGGTTTTTTATGGCCCTTTGATCTGTACAAATAGCCACTCATAGAAGAATCTTCTGTGTTTGCTGATACCTAGAGAAGCAAGCCCCATACATTGTGTTAATCGTTTTCAAACAAATGTTAAATAAAAACAAGACTGTTTCCAATGAATAGGTGCTGAAAACAATAGCCACAATAGAATGTTTCGAAATAAAATCATGTATTTTCACAGACTGCTACTGTACAATACTGTTATTATCATGAGCATAACAAAATCTTTCTTGGGCCAGCAGCTAATGTGGTGGTGAAGACAGCTGGGCAGCTGTATCCCACATGGCCCACTGCATGGTTCAAGTTCCAGAAGCAGCGGCTTGAAAAAAATGTGTACATGCATGCCCAAAATCCCAAGGGGAGAATGGAGAAGGGATTACTGTATGGCCATCACCTCTTAATTACCCCTCTACCTGCCCCCCTCACCCTCCCCCTGCAACTGTCTCTGGTGAGCAAGAGTTAGAAATGATCTTTCTTTTAGAAGTAATTCTAGAATTTCACCTGGTTTCACTGTGTTTGCATGTATTTGTGTTGATGTTTCTTTGTGAGATCATCTGTATTTTTAAGAGGACAAGAGAAGAAAAATTAATTCCAAAAGCCTAGAATGCTTCCTTAAAGCAGCATTTTTGGGGACTCTGTATATTGTTTACTGCCATCTTATCTTGGAGTGCTAGAAAAAGGGATCTAAACGTTTAACTCTGTTTCTAAAATAACTTTTTGGCCTTATAAAAACCATTATCAACAAAACAGTAAATAGGACATTGTTTTTTTTAGAGAGATTTTTGCTATAGGGCGTGTGTGCTTGCTGGAGAGGCAGACAGAGAGACTGAATGCAAGAAATCACCTGCCAGGGGATGGCCATGCTGCAATTCCTTTACCTCCATTTTCCACTGGGAATTTTTTGGGCATGCACACGCACACACCCAGCATGAGTTTTAAACTATCAGGTCTGTGACTTGAACCACAAATGACTACATGGGAGTCCAGTGGTGTAACCATTACACCATCTGCTGGTCCCAAAAATTCTATTATTGATGGACATAACTTTAAGGGTCTGTCTTTGCTCTCCAAATTCTGGTTTGAAAAGCAGCTTATTTTTGTTTCATAAAAGGTTGAAAATGTTTTAATTTCTAGGCAAAAAGACAGTAAGTCCTTAATGATTATAATATGCAAAGTGTCTTATTTTAACACTGCAATCCCTTCTCTTCCACTTTCCTCCTGTGATTTTGGGCACACACGCACATGTGCCCTGTGTGACTCTCAAGCTGCTGGGTCCAGGACTTGAACCACAGTCAATCATGTGCAAGTCAGCACTCACTCCAACCACCACACCATCTGCTGGTCCCTGTTTTTTTCTGTTTTTTTTTTGTTTGTTTGTTTGTTTGTTTGTTTGTTTTTGTGTGTGTGTGTGTGTGTGAGCTGTAGATAGAAAAACCAAATTGTTTCTTGTTTTGTTTTGTTTTTGTTTCTGGAGAGGTTTTTGCTATAGGCCACGTGCACTTGCCAGAAATACAGAGAGAGACAGAGAGATTCTCCATTCTCCTCTTGGGATCTTGGGCGGGTACGCACACATACATGCCCGGTGTGAGTTTAAGCCACCGGGTCCAGGACTCAAACCAGGGTGGACTACATGGAAGTCCAGCAACACAGCCATTATACCAACTACTGGTCCCTGTTTTTGTTTTTTTAAGTTTTTGCTATGGGGTACATGTGTTTATCAGAGAGAGATAGGGGTGGTATGGGAGGGGGGATGAGTGAGAAATCACTCTCCAGAGGGTATGGCCACCTGAAATCCCTATTCCTCCATTCTCCTCAGGATTTGGGGCACAAATACACATGCACCTGGCATGATTTTCAAGCCACCAGGACTCAAACTGGGCAATTGGGCATTTGGGGTCCAGTGCCTTAACCTCCATACCACCTTTTGGGCCATCTTTTTGCCTTTTTAGTGATATGGTAAGTAGATTCTTCAGGTGGCTGCTCAGGACTGTTGCCTCTGACAGTCGCACTGTTGTATAGTCTCCTCCCCTGGAGTGTGGGCAGGACCTATGTCTTGCTTCTCATTATAAAATATAGTGGAGTAATGGGACCTCACTCCTGAGATTATGCTACACATCACATAAGAGTCCATCTTACTAGAAGACTGGCTCTAGACTTTCTCTCTAGCTGGCTTTGAAGAAGTTAAGCAGTCATGTTGGGGACTCACATGGCAAGGAGCTGAGGTGACCTCCAGCTAGAAGCCAGTAAGCAGTCAGGGCCTTTAGTCTTCAACTACAAGGAAATGAATTCTGTTGCTACCCTGAATGAGCTTGGAAATAGACCCTTCTCTAGGTGATCCTCCAGAGAAGAACTTGGTACTGGCCAAAACCTTGATTATAACCCTACGGCGGTCGCAGCTAAGCTATGCCTGGACTCCAGAGATAATGTATGTTGTTTTAAGCCAGTAGATGTGGTTGCACAATGTTGTGATACATGAAATACCACAGAATTATAAACTTCAAAATGTTTAATTGTATGTTATGTGAATTTCACTTCAATTCAAAACAAAAACAAAACACAGCTTCTCAAGGGAAGTACTATACTTTCACTTTGTTTTCTTTAATGATGTGTGCATGTAATAGAAAGACAGAGACACAGAGAGAGAGAGTGAGTGAGTGAGATCTTCTCCAATGGTCCCTGGTCATGCTGTAATTCTTTTCCTAAAATTCTTTATCCTATCAGGATTCTGAGCATGTTGTGTGCATGCCTGGAATGTTTTTAGGCCACTGGAGCTGGGACTCAAACTCTGGTTGGCCAGGTGGGATCTGGTTTCCTCTGCACAGGACTTAATTGTTCCCCTCAGGGCTGGCTCTACTTTGATTTTTGTTTGCTTGTTTGTTTAATTGCTTTATCTATTTATTTGCTGTGAGTTTTTCAGGTCACTGGTTCTAGGACTCACACTGCAGTTGGCCACGTGGGACTCCAGCACTTAACCACCACACCACCTACTGGTCCCCATACTTTAACTCTTACAGCATTAACTACTAATACTTATATTAATTTCTCTAGCGTGATGGCAAAGGAACAAAGTAGTAGTTCTCAAACTTTAGCATACATGTAAATCACCAGAGGTGATTGTTAGTTTCTGATTCTACAGACCTTGGACAGGGCCCAAGACTGACTAAATTCTGAGGTGATTCTGATGTTACTACTGGTCTGGGGGACACTTTCAGAATCTGTGGAGCGAGAGGAAAAAATGGCTGCAAACAGGGAGTAGAGGTTTGAAGTAGAAGAATTATTGGTGGAAAGATGTACCAAATAGAATTGGAGTTGGATGCAATTTAGTCTAGAGTGTGAAGCTTTGTAAACAAAGCTGTGGAGTTACGACTGAAGAAGGGAACAAATGGTAAGAATTATATTTAGAAACTATGACATAAAGTTGGACAGGCAAAAAACTACAAAGAACTGAGTTGATTGCTGAAATATCTTTTCCTCCATCTCTCCCTTCTTTCAGGATTTTGAGTATGCAGGCATATATGCCTGGCGTGCTTGTCAAGCTGCTGGGTCCAAGACTTGAACCATGTGGTCTGCCATGTGGGATCCAGGTGCCTTAACCACTATACCATAGACCTGCTCTAAAATTTTCTTTTAACATTAAAGGGAAAACAACCTATCAGTGATACCATAAGCCGTGTATAACCAACCAGTGTCTACAAATAACAAACCATGTGGCTCAGTAAATGCTAATGAGATGCCCAAATTAGTCTATATACTTCTCCCCTCTGGTAAGGGGCCTCTTCAAATGATTTTTAAAAATTCATGTATGGTGCTGGGCACATGTGTGTGCATGCCCAAAATCGCAAGAGGAGAATGGAAGAGAAGGGACTGCAGCATGGCCATACCCCTAGGGGGTGATTTCTTGCTTTCTGTCTTTCTCTGTCTCTCCAGGGAGCACATGCACCCTATAGCAAAAATCTCTCTTAAAAAAAAAATAAAAAAGAAAGAAAGAAATTCATGTGTAGGGGCCAGCAAATGACATGTGGTTAAGGTACTGGACTCCCACATGGCCAACCGCAATCTGGGTCTCAGACCTGGCAGCTCTCTCTCTCTTTGTGTGTGTGTGTGTGTGTGTGTGTCCGGTTAGCACATATGTCCAATAGCAAATTAAAAAATAATAATGATAATAAATAAAATTAAATAATTTTTTAAGGAACAGTTGATTAAACATTTTATTGTCAAATTTTCATTTTATTTCACAGTGATTAGAAAAACAGCCAACACTAATAAAAGTTTAGAATGAGCCAAGTACTCATCAACCTTTTTTGTATATAGTAAGGCATATAATTTTCTTAACAGTACTTATAAGGTAGGTACTATCATTATCCTCATTAGATTAAAAAACAGGCACAGAAAAAGTAATGGCTTTCTTAGGGTCATCAGCTAATAAGTGGTAGAATTGGGATTCAAACTCCTATTTTCATTTTGTAATTTAATGACGTTTTCTTTGAGAATAAACACTTTTTTGGTTTGTGTACATGTTCAGTAGAGGTTGGAGAAAAGGTATCTTCTCTGTAGGCTCTGGAGTCTAGTCCAGTCCCTAACTATTCATTCTACTTCATGACTAATATTATTCAGGGGGCTGGCAGGTGGAATGGTGAATAATTCTTTTTCAAAAAAAAATAAATTCATGTGTGTCCAACCTATCTTTTCTTTTTATTGTTGCTATAAAGTCTTCTCCAAATCTTTCAACAGCCATTTTCAAAATGACTCAGGTCATAAGGGAAACAGCAAGATTATAATGCATCAGCCCCACCCATCACCGGTATTAAAATCCATACTTAATAGCAGTGGGAAATGGTATCTTCCTCTATAAAAGAAAAACTTTGTCATGAGCATATTAACAATTCAGCCTCTATCAAATTGCAAGTTTAACAAAATTACTCACTTCTTTCAGAGCAGCTGGGATTTTTTTCTGCTTCCTCCCTGATGGAATACTATGTAGGACTGATGATAGGGCACTTGAAGGAGATTTGTGATTTCCAGGAGAACCAACCTTGGGGATGTGCTGGTGATCTAAAACAAATCAGGTACACTTATGTAGTCAACGGTAATCATTCAGCTAGTCATTTAATCCAAATCAATACACACTGCTGCATAAATTACCAATAGAAGGACACTTAGGAAACAGATGGCATTTTTGTCCCCAGGAAAAGAAGACAGATGGCCAGGAGTTGAGTGGGAGGAAGACTTTCTACTTCTATGTAAATCACTCCTGCCCCATCTCCAAAACACCTTAACATTATTTACATACTAGCCCAAATAAGTACTAGAAAAGGGCTATGAGGAAGCAATTAATTTTTCTTCCTTCCTTCCTTCCTTCCTTCCTTCCTTCCTTCCTTCCTTCCTTTTTTCCTTCCTAAAGAGGTTTTTGCATTAGGGAACGTTTGCTCACTGGAAAGAGACAGAGACAGTGGAGAGAGAAAGGGAAAAAAATCACCCCCTGGGTTCAGGGGGAGATGACCAGGCCACAATCCCCTCTCCTTCTGGGATCTCGCAAATATACACAGGCACCTGGAGACTCAAGTCACTGAGTCTGAGACTCAAACTGCAGTGGACCATGTGGGATTCCAGAGATGTAACCGCTGTGCTATTTGCTGGCTCTGTGGAGCAATTAATTTTGGCTAGAGGGGTACTGGAAAGCTGGGAAGAGAATGAGGTGTTTAAGTTGACCACTAAGACTTAAGGAGGAGTTTGCCAGGTTAAAAAAAAGAGGAAGAAAAACGATCCTTACAGAGAGGTCAGCATGAGCAAAGGCAGAGAGGCATGAAATAGCACTGTCTATTTGGAAAACCATGAGGCTGACGGAAAACAGAGCTGTTCCAAGGAACCTCGACTGTTGTTTAAGTCTTTTAGGCTGGGGAGTGACACAAGCAGATTAAAATTTGAAAAAATCAATCTGGCAGTAGCAAGGAGGTGGGATTTATAGCATGGAAAACCTGTTAGGAAATTATTGCAGCAGCCTAGACAACAGATATTGCAGGTCTTGTTAGGGCAGACATGGGGAAATCAAGACAAAGACAGAGTGAGTATTGTTAAGATTCACTGATCAAATTGGTGATGAGGGAGCAGATTCAAAGATGAATTCTGATATTTGCAGCTTACTAGTTTATACCAAAAAAAAAAAAAAAAAAACCAACAAAGGAAGAAACATACAGGTTGGGAAAGGAATCAATGGAGGTATCCTTTTTTTTTTTTAAATATATATTTTTAAATAATTATTTTACTTAACTTTATTTATTTATTTAAATTTGACCAGAGAGGGACAGAGTAAGAGGTTAAGTGAGAAAACAAGCCACCAGGTCCGGAGGGGGAAAGTGAGCAAACAGCCACCAAACCGTGGTCAGCCATGTGAGATCCGGCTGCCTTAACCACTAGGTCATAGGCAGGCCTGGCTGTCTTTTAAAAATGTAGGTCCGATAGGTTTCAGGAACTTAACTAAAGATCCCATCCCAAGATATAGACTGAGCACCAACATATAGACGGAGCAGTCTCTTGAGCTGCATGCACTTGAACTGTAGGATACCTACAAAAATGAGCAGGCATATAGAAAGTATCATTTTGCATTTGGGCAAAAAGCAACACATTCAGATCACTAACTCAGTCCAAGTGACGGAATTAGGCTATCAAACTGTTAACCAGGATATTTCCATGTAGAACTGCTTTATAGATAGTTAAAAACGGTTTGTCCTGGGCACACTACTATGTGAAACAAGAAACTTCCAAATCACTTGAAAGTTAAAGTTCCCTTTTAAATATTAAAGCAATTTATATTTCTATTGTTATTAGGTTGTCAGGAAAATCATGATGTATTTTTCTTTATTTTACTAGGCAAAAATGTGTCACCATTTTCCTGACAACTCAATACTTTTCTTAGCGAAACTTTTTGTCTCCCACAGGTTAAAAATAAACATCAGGGGGAACCAGTAGTTAGCGTAATGGCTATGCCGCTGGACTCCCACGTAGTCGACCGCAGTTCGTGTCCCGGACCCGGTGGCTTAAAACTCACGCCGGGCGCGTGTGCGTGCATGTCCAAGATCCCGAGAGGAGAATGGAGGAGAAGAGATTGCGGCATGACCATCCCCCCTGGGGGGTGATTTCTCGCTTTCTGTCTCTATGTCTCTCTCTGTCTGTCTGGCGAGTGCATGCGCCCTACAGTGAAAATCTCTCAAAAAAAAAGAAAACAAAAGAAAAATAAACATCAGGGGCCCAGCAGATGGCATAACGGTTACTAGCTGGATTCCCACAGGGCCAACCATGGTTCAAGTCCTGGACCCTGGTGGCTTGAAACTCATGTGGGATGTATATGCATATGCATGCCCAAGATCTCAGGAGGAGAAGGGATTTAAGCTTGGCCATGCCCCCTGAGGGTGATTTCTCACTTTTCCTCTCATTGTCTCTGCCTCTCTAAAGTGAGCAAACACGCCCTAAGGTAAAATCCTCTATAAACAAACAAACAAACAATCTTCATTCCATTCTCTCTTGGAATCACTACAAAATATGAGTTAAAAAAGCTTTGTCGCTGACTTTGAGATAAGTATTGATGATCATATTGCTAATGTATCAAAGATGAATCTTTCTGAAAGTTGTTGGAAAACATCTGGGGAATAAAGGAAATTTGGTTAAATCTTTACTTGTATATTACCTAATTTCTGCAGTTCTTGAAAACAGTGTTCGCATACTCTTGCTGGTTGATTTTTCAGGTAATCTAAACCACACTTATTTGATGAACAAGCTTGGCATACAATCTGAAAATATATTAGAGTTATTTCATTTAGAGTAACTTTTATTTCCAGAATGTAATGTATGTTACATTTTATAGTGCTACATGTCCAAAGAGCTCCGGCATGCAGTGAACTAATGCACAGTATCACACTTGAGAAATAAGAGGCTACGGATTATTACTGAGGGCTGACTATGTAAAATACCATAGTAAAGGAGTTTAGAACAGCATCTGGCATGCAGTAAGTCCTGCAAGCTGTACTGATCATATGGTCATAATTACCATCACTGCTGCAGCAACCACCACTTCTCTGTTCCCCTACCAGGTGTCCTGCTGTCTAGATGCTCGGTACAAAACCCTAAGTAGGACCCTGTTTAATCTTGAGAATAACTAACTCTCTGGTGCCGTTATGCTCATTTTACGAAGGAGGTCACGAAGGCTCAGAAACACCGCTAGGGATAATCCCAACGTGGAAAGTTCCCCCTACTAAATACCTAGTACCTAGAGAGACGCGGTTTAAATAACTAGCTGTAAATGTGAGGGTCTATGTCAGAGTCGGCTTGTTAGTTTTTGCTTTTGAATGAAAGTGATCTATTACTGACATTCTAAAATAACTCTGGGCTAGCAGAAAGGAAGCTCCTTAATAAGATTCCCTCCCCAACCCCTAAGTATTTAGAGAAAACACCACCCATGTTTCCCATCATCACTACTTCAGTTTTTGCTTTCTTTTTCTTTTTTACTACAATAGTTTATGAGAAAATGCTTCCTTGCCATGGACAGCCCAGAGGTAGTGCAAATCAAAACGGAAACGGGTGTTCATGTCGCTAACCTTTCCGCAGGCCCGGCAGTGGTGTCGTCTCCAGGTCAGAGTAAATTCGCTGGTGCAGATCATACACATGGTGGCTCTGGTATCAGGAATCCAGATGGGGGCCTTTGATCCAAGGGGACTAACTTCTTCTTTATTTTCTGAGTCTGCCTGCTGAGGAAGAACGACTTCTCATTATCGCCATGCACACTGCACGCTATGGAATCAAGCCTTTTCATCTGGTAGTCGTGTCTCACATTTCTGCTGGTTATCATTAAAGACACGGGCTGAAATACAGGCTATTACATTCCTGTTGGTGTCTTCAGGATTTTAAGATGATCTATTGATACATTCTAAAAATTCTTTAATACAAAATTAGCTTAAAAAGATGCCTGTGGTCATGGGATGACCGCTGATGAGTTCCTCCCTTGATAGTTCGTATTTGAACAATTTTCTCGTATTTGAACAATTTGACATTTCACAACTAGAAAAAAAATATGAATATGCCATATGCTATCATGGATGTGCAGTTAGGCATTAAAAGAGGGGTAAGCATTTAGCTCTGAAATTAGACGCCCACCTCCAATCCTTGGAAACACACGTTGCTGTTCTAAACGGAAATGTCTGATTAAGGTTAAAACTGCAGTGTGGGTTTTTGTTGTTGTTGTTGTTTTTTGTTTTGTTTTGTTTTTAAATAAGAAGGCACAGACAATACCTCCTCAAGACTCCTGCTAGGACAGAAGGTGGTTCTTTTCTTGGCATACTCCTCTATCGACCTGGAAATCGCTTCCAGCCATTCGTCCCTTTCTATGGCAGAACTGTCGGGGGTAAAAGAAGGTTCCATCAACCAGATGTCAGCTTTAATTCTTTGCCTCTTTCTTACTTTTCTTCCTTCTCCCATGGCAACAGATCCCACTACCCTCCAACAATAACAGCCCAAAACAACAACACAGGTTTATTTGAAATAATCAAGAACTCATGGTATTTTAGAAAATACGATGCTTTCGTTTCCCTGCCAAAAGTATTGCTTTATAATACAGAGCTTTTTGGAGCTGCCTCAATTTGGAAGTATTTTTAGTTGGTTTCAATTGTATGAATAATCATGATTAGTTATATAACCAAGGAGTTTCCTAAGACATAATCCTAGAATTAAAAAATATCCCAATGAAACAGGTTTCAAATACCAATTCATGACATAAAATATGAAATATCTTTTAGATTAAATACCAGTAAAAATTTCTACAAGCACAGAGGGATAAAGGGAATATATTTTTTGTATCATAAAACATGTTGGGGGGAGTTAAGAAGAGAGACAGCCTGTGGCGGTTCTTAAGCTTCTCTACCTATTTAGCTCAACCAGCTTTCTGCCCTACTCCCGGATCATCAGGAGCTATCATTAATTCAAATCTAGATGAGAACATACCAAACAGAGGATTGCCTGCTCAGAAGAGGGTTTTCTTGTTCTGCACTTTTGCAACCACACCTACCTCTCCCAAAAATCTCAGTGGTTAACTCCAAATCCTCACTAGTATCAGCATATTTATGTAGCCAGTGTTTAAAATTTATTTTTGCACATTAAAAACTGAGAGGCACATTTTAGGTATTCGAAAGAAATTAATCTAGGGCTGGCAGGTGGCATGGTGATTAAGGTACTGGACTCCCACATGGCAAACCCATGGGGACGGTTCAAGTTCCAGACCCGGCAGCTTGCTTTCTCACTTTCCATTTTCTCTCTCTAGTCAAATAAAAAAAAATAATAAAATGAAATAAGGCACTGGACTCCCACGTGGCCAACCAATGGGGTCTGGTTTGAGTCCCAAACCTGGCGGCTTGCTTTCTCACTTTCCCTTTCTCTCTCTGTTCAAATTTTTTCTTTTTCTTTTCTTTTTTGTTTAGAGAGACTTCTGCTATAGGGTGTGTGCATTTGCCGGAGAGACAGAAAGCAAGAAATTACTTCCCATGAGGACGGCCATGCTGCGATTATTTCCCCTCCAGGTTCCTCTCAGGATTTTGATCAACCACGCGCATGTGCCTGGTGTGAGTTTTAAGCTCTTGGGTCCAGCACTCAAACCACAGTCGACTACGTGGCAGTCCAGTGACATAACCATTTCGCCATCTGCTGGTCCCTCTCTGTTCAAATTTTTTGCCATAGGGCGGGGCGCCACCACGCCCCCCTGTTCAAAATTTTTAAAATAATAATAAATAAAATAAAATAAATAATTCATTTTAAAAAAGAAATAAATCTATCCATATACATGTAGACAGAAAAGAGAAACTTTTTTTTTTCTTTTTTTGGGGAGAGGGTTTTTTTTTTTTTTTTCTTTACGAACGCACTCACCAGAAAGACAGAGAGAGACAGAGAGAGAGAAAGCAAGAAATCACCCCCTAGGGGGGATAGCCATGCTGCAATCCCTTCTCCTCCATTCTCCTCTTGGGATCTTGGGCACGCATGCACACGCGCCCAGCATGAGTTTAAGCCACCAGATCTGGAGCTCGAACCGCAGTTGACAACATGGGAGTTGAGCGACATATGCTAACTGCTGGTCCCAAGAAAGAGAAACTTTCAAAATCAGTTTAAAACTCTGTCATAATAAAATCCATCATACTGGTTTCGACTGTATAAGGCAATGTTGACTGAAGAGTCATAGTGAAGTTTGTAGGACTAAAATGACCTGGTTTCTTCAGTTTGTTTTTAAATACTTTAGGAAACTGTAAAACAGGAATATTGCTGACAAAATCTTGATGGTTTCTGGTTTAGGCAATTTAATGTGTAGTTTATTATATTATCCACTTGAATTTTAAGTACAGTAGAAACTTTAAACAATATATTTTTTTAAGAGTTTTTTTTGCTATAGAGCACGTGCGCTCGCCAGAAAGACAGAGAGACAGAAAGCGAGAAATCGCCCCCCAAGGGGGATGGCCACGCCGCAATCCCTTCTCCATTCTCCTCTTGGAATCTTGGGCACGCATGCACACGTGCCCGGCTTGAGTTTAAGCCACTGGGTCCAGAACTTGAACCACGGTTGACTACATGGGAGTCCAGTGACATAGCCATGACGTCAACTGCTGGTCCCCTTTAAACAATATTTTAAAAATAAAAATTCAGGGGCCGGCAGGTGACATGGTGGTTAAAGGTGTTGGGACTCCCACATGGCTGACCACAGTTCAAGTCCCAGACCTGGGGGCTTGCTTTCTCACTTTCCCTCTCTCTCTCTTATTCTCACTTTGTCCCTCTCTACTCAAATTAAAATAAATAAGTAAACAAATAAATGTCAAATAAGATAATTCTTTTAAAAAATTAAAATTCATAGATAAAATAATAAATAATGGTATCTATAAGCATATTACTGTATTTTTAAGAAAGAACACAGAGCAGATCAAGAAGATACTAGAAGGCCAGTCACAGTGGCGCAAGTAAAAGACCACCGCTGTGTGATGCAGCCACAAGGGAGGCCTCCGATTGGTTCCAGGTCCAGCCTAAATAGGCTGGTTGTACTGACACAACCCCTTTTCCGTAGTCTACCACAATCTGTCTCAATTACCCCTATTATTCTAGAGTTACTGCCAAAACTTACTACCACTTAATAGTCACTACATATCAGTCAGCTGATATGCTTTGCCAATGCCATAGCTCAGCCTCAGAGGAGAATGGAACACATGTCAGACCTGACACTATGCCAACTACGCGATCAACCCACTTTCACCATTCACAGACAAGGAAACCGAGGATTAACAATGTTAGAAAATTCGCTGTGGAGGTAATAGCCCCGAAAGTGAGGTGCCGATATTAGACCCAAGTCTAGCTAAGGATTGAACCCTTCACCTCCAGGCCACTACCAGCCTCTGCTCACATTCTCCAAAGAACTACAAACTACACGAATGCACGCACAGGCTTCCAAGCAAACATTCATAAATTACCAGCCTTCTCTCCCTTGTTTTTTACTCGAAGAAGTAACAGAAAGCAGAGAGGCAGATGGCTAATTTGAGAATTGCAGTTGGATTTTTCTAGAGCACTGGGAGCCTGCAGGATGTGATTCAACTGTGCAAATCATGTCACATATGCTGTTTTTCATTTAATCATTCCTGGCGCTCTCATGTGGGGTTCTGCCAAGACAATGTTTACGAGCTCTTGATAACACATTTCTCACAGACCACACACATTGGCCAACGGCACTGAGTGGAGACGTTATTCTAGGTCTCCTTTTGTAACACGGTTAGCAGAAGAATCAGCATCTTCCTCGAAATGGAAAAAGCCATTAAGCCAACTATTTTTTTCTGCATAGGATGTCTACGTTACCAGAGAGCAAATCTGGGTCAATTCAGAACCATTTTCTTATTGATTGGGATAAATTACCAAAGGGAAAAGCCCTCTGATAGAAGGGATTTCTTTTTTTCTTTTAAAGAATTATTTAATTAGTTCCATTTGTTATTCTTATTATGTTTGATGTGACCAGAGAGAGGAAAGGAGAAAGCAAGTCACCAGGTCCAGGACTCGACCATGTTCGGCCATGTGGGAATCCAGCACCTTTAATCACACCACCTGCTGGCCCCTAGAAGGGATTTCTGGTGGGTTAGATCTTGCCACACCAATTTACCATGTGGGATGTCAGTGAGGTTCAAAAGTTACATCATTTTGGTTCATGGGAATAACATTTACTGGGAACTTACTAAGGAAGGGCCAGGAACTAAACCATGAACCAGGCATACAAAATATACCTCCCTTGTAAGGGCCTACATCCAATCGAGATGAAAGAAGTCATTAAAAGACGATACACAACAAATGTGAAGTAGATGAATCACACACACACAGCACATTTCCTCACTTAGGTAGAAGGGCAGGCTTTGTGGAGTTGATGGCAGTCAGGATTTGAAGAATTCTAGAAGTTTGACAGGGAACTCTGCAGTCCCCGTGCACCCTCATGTAGTCGCTTCGGCTTGGATGTCATCCCCAAGCTGATGACACCCACGTCCATGCCTCCAGCCAGGCTTCTTGTTGACATTCAGACCTTTAATAAACTGCTCTAATGGCTGCATTTTGACATTTCATGGGCATCTCACATCCAATGTACGTGTGACACTAAACCTGATTTCTCCCCCAAAGCTCCCCTCCCGGTGTGCCCTGTACCAACGAATGGCTCCACTGCCTAAGACACTGCACGCTGGATAATCCCTCTGCGTTAACTCTTTCTGGTCCACTGCATTCAGTGAATCTGCTTCTTTAGTCTACCTCCCAGGTTATTATGTATTCCACAGAGTAGACATGTATTCTTTTTAAAAAATGCCAACCTGGGGCCAGCAGGTGGCGTGGTAGTTAAAGGTACTGGATTCCCACATGGCCAAAATGTTTTCAAGTCCTGGTCCTGGCAGCTTGCTTTCTCCCTTTGCCTGCCACTCTCTGGGCAAATTTAAAAAATAATAACAACAACAAAAAAATGGAATTAAATAAATAAATAAATAAGCCAGTCTGGGCCAGCAAGTGGCATGGTGGTTAAGGTACTGGACTCACATGGCAGACCACAGTTCGAGTCCAGTCTGGGTGACTTGAAAATCACACCACGTGGGTGTGTCTTCATGCCCAAAATTCCAAGAGGGGAATAGAGGAGAAGATACTGCATGGACACCCCTCTCACTTGCCCTCTTTCAGCCTCTCTTGGCCAGTGCATGTACCCTATGAAAAAAACCTGAAGGGACCAGCAGTTAGCATAATGGCTATGTTGCTGGACTCCCACGTAGTCGACCGTGGTTCATGTCCTGGACCTGGTGGCTTAAAACTCACTCTGGGCGCCTGTGCGTGCGTGCCCAAGATCCCAAGAGGAGAATGGAGGAGAAGGGATTGCAGTGTGGCCATCCCCCCGGGGGGTGATTTCTCGCTTTCTGTCTCTCTGTCTCTCTCTGTCTATCTGGCGAGCGCACGCGCTCTATAGCAAGAAAAAAACCTTTCTGAAAATAAACAAACAAAAAAAAAACTGAAAAAAAAATTAGAAAGCTAATCTGGTTATATTATAACCTTGTCTAAATCTTCCAGCACTTCCTATGGCTCACAAGATGATGGTCCTTGAGCCCACTTGTCCCTCCAGGTCACTTCCTCACATTCTCTAGTTCATGTCCCTACGGTGTCAGGACCTGTGTACACATTGTTCCTACTGACCAGGAGGCTCCTCCTTTCCTCTTTGTCTAGCTCTCCAAGTCCTACTTATCCCTTGTAAGTCAAGGTCTTTAAGGATGACTCCTATGCCTTTACTCTCCCAAATCTGTTGAATTGTTAGAAAAGTCATGATGTATTTTTCTTGTTTTTTTTTTGGTTTTTTTGGGGGGTTTTCTTTGAGAGGTTTTTGCTATAGGACGCATGCGCTTGCCAGACAGACAGAGAGAGACATAGAGACAGAAAGCGAGAAATCAACCCCCAGGGGGGATGGTAACACTGCAGTCCCTTCTCCTCCATTCTCCTCTCGGGATCTTGGGCACACACGCACATGTGCCTGGTGTGAGTTTTAAGCCACTGGGTCCGGGACGCGAACCACGGTCGACTACGTGGGAGTCCAGCGACATAGCCATTACGCTAACTGCTGGTTCCCATATTTTTCTGTTTTTCTGGGTAAAAATGTGTCAGGACTTTTCCGACAACCCAATAGTTCACGGTCTCTTGATTTACAGCCTCATGGCACCTGGCACTTTTCCTCTGTACTACTTAATCACAATATTTACTGTGTCAATATCTGCTAAGAGTACATCTTCCCCAATGAAAGCTTAGTGAAGAATAGCACTTTTAATTTTTCACTTTTGGGCTGGCCCCATAGCCTAGTGGAGAATGGAGCCAGATTCCACATGGCTGACCACAGTTCAAATCGAGCTCCGGCAGCCTGAAAAACATGCCAGGCACCTGTGTGTGCATGCCCCAAATCCCTCAAGGATGGAGAAAGGGAAGAGAAAGGATTGCAGTGTGACCATGCCCCATGGAGGCAGGGGTGCCTTCTCCTCTCTCTGGTAAACACACATTCTTTTTGGCAATTAAAAAAAAAGAAGATAATTTATACACTGTATTCTAGTACCTAGCACAAAGCCTGGTCCAGCCTAGGACCATATTAGAGGGTCCATATTATTGAATGAAGAGATGAATTCCAGGTGGAGGTAGCCACCTGTGCAAGACAGAAGGCTGTGCAGTAGGATGGTATGTGTGGGGAGTCACAAGCGGATCCATGCTGAGGGAGCATTCAATGTGTTGGTGGTGGGGTGGGCAGAGCGAATGAATGGAAGGCAGCCTGATTAGGCAGCTAGGAACCAGATCACCCTCTTTGTAAAATTTTTATTTTATTTTACTAATCAATTATTTTAGATAAGATCTTGTTATAACCAGTCCTTCTGCCTCAGCATCCTAAGTAGCTGATACCTGATTTTCTGGGTGGGTGGGCAATAGAACTCAAGCCTCCCAAGTGCTCTTGGCCTGTCGTAGCAGTGCTGATGAGTGTGCATTGTTGCAGCTGGGCCAATTATTTTAAAATGACAAATAATCATTTATAAATCTATTTATGGGTTATAATGTGTTTTTCCTTTTGTAAAAAATTTACCAAGGGTGCGTGTGCTTGCCAGAAAGAGAGGGAGAAGGAGAAAGTACCCCACAAGAGAAAGTGAGCATGCCTGCCGCAATCCCTCCTCCTCCATTTCGCCATGCTTTCAGGATTTGGGGTACATATGTACACACACTCAGGGCGTTTTTCAAGGTGCTGTAACTGGGGTTTGTACCATCAGCCATGTGGGATCTGGCTCCCTTAACCACCAGACCATGAGGCCAACCCATGCTGTGATGTTTTTATACATGTGCATATTGTAGAGAGAGCATATCCAGCTGATTAGCAGACCTATTCCTCAAATATTTACCACTGCATTCTGGTAAGGACTTTTAAAATCCTGTCTTTTAGCTATTTTGAAATATGCAATACATTAATTATTTTTTTTTGGAGAGGTTTTTGCTATAGGGCGCGTGCGCTCACCAGACAGACAGAGAGAGACATAGAGACAGAAAGCGAGAAATCACCCCCCAGGGGAGATGGTCACGCTGCAATCCCTTCTCCTCCATTCTCCTCTCGGGATCTTGGGCACACACGCACACGTGCCACCGGGGCAGGATGCGAACCATGGTCGACTACATGGGAGTCCAGCAACATAGCCATTATGCTAAGTGCTGGTTCCCATAATACATTAATTTTTTAAACAACTATTTTTATTAATTTTATTCATTATTATTTTTTAACTTAACCAGAGAGACAGAGAGAGACAGGGAAAGTGAGAAAGCAAGCCACCAGGCTCGGGACTTGAACTGTACTTGGCCAGGTGGGAGTCCTACACACCCTCTCTGGCATAGGGCAGGTGCCCATCAGTTATCTTATTGTCTCTCCCTAATTCTGACCACATTTTACCACTAAGACACATCCCCTACAGCACATCAGCTGGTTTCCCACTTCTGCCCTAGTGCCTGAGTGACCGTCTTCTATGATGCTGCCAGTGAAATCTTTAAAAACAAAAATTAGACCGTAATTCTCAGCTTCGGCCCTTGGATGGCTGACCATGGTTTGAGTCCTGGACCTGGCAGCTTAAAACTCAGGCTGGGTGCGTATGCGTGTCGTGCCCAGAATGCTGAGAGGAGAATGGAGGAGAAGGGATTGTGGTGTGACCATCCCCCTAGGGGGGATTTCTCGTTTTCTGTCTCTCTGTCTCTCTTTGTCTCTCTGGTGAGTACACATGCCCTATAGCAAAACTTTCTCTACTACTACTAATACACGTGAACTTCCTAGTAAACCATAAAAGACTAGGGTTTTTTCTCTTTATACATGACAGCGCATGTGAATGCACATTCAGGCAGAAAGAGAGAGAGAGAGGAGCCCCTTCTACAAGGTCTGGTCACATTGCAATCTCCTCCCTCAGTCCTCTAGTTCCTCAGGTCTAGGTCACTGCACATGTGCCTTGTGTGTTTCAAGCTGACTGGGCCAGGACTCTGAACCATGGTAGCCATGTAGGATCTAGCTTCTCACAAGCAGTGCATTACCAATGCGCTATGGCTGGCCTAACACTCGTTCTCTTTAATAATGATTTGAAATATTCACTTAAAAAAAGAGAAATGATCAGCAAAGCACCCTTTGCCCTTGTCATTCTGCTCAGAAGAACATTCTTTCTTTTAATCTTTGCGCTTCTAGCACAGTACTGCATTAGCTGTCAGTCGTTTGCCTGCATGGGAAATCAAGAATGAATGGCATGATATTGAGGAAGAAAAGTGCAAAAAAGTCTAGCAGTTAAGCTAAGTACAAAAGTGCTGGCAACTGCTGACCTTGTAACACTGGCAAAACTTCATCTGTACACTTTCAAAAACAAATTTCCTATAGGGCATGCGTGCTCGCCAGAGAGACAGAGGGTGGTGATGGGATGGAAGTGAGAACATATCCCCCAGAGGGTATGGCCACACTGCATTCCTTCTCGTCCATTCTTGGGGCTGGCAGGCAGCATCGTGAGTCCCTTCTCATCTATTCTCTTCTTAGAATTTTGGACACACACACATACAGACACACACACGGCATGTTTTTCAAGTCATTAGGTCTGGGACTTGAACCGTGCATCCAGCCATGGGGGATCCAGCTGTCTCAACCACTATGCCATTGGCTGGCCCAACCCATACATGTTTTAAAAAATTTACCTGGCTGAGAGAATGAAGGAACGTTCTACACTTTCAATTTTTAATTCATTCTGATAAGCTTCTTGGGTGGGTTTTCTGACCTGAAAGAAAGCACACAATTTTTTTTTAAAGAATCAACACTTTTTTAAAAAGAATTATTTTACTGAACTTTACTCATTTATTTTAATTTGGCCAGAGAGGGACAGGATGACAAGAGCGTGAGAAAACAAGCTGCCAGGTGTGAGACTTGAACCATGGTCAGCCATGTGGGAGTCCAACACTCTTAACCGCCATGCTACCTGCCGGCCCCAAGAATCAACACTTTTTTAAATTTAACTTTATTTATTATGATTATTATTTGTTTTATTTGTTTTTTTTTTAATCTGACCAGAGAATGAGAGAGAGAGAGTGTGAAAGTGAGAGGAAGCAAGCTGTCAGGTCTGAGACTTGAACCACAGTCAGCCACATGGGAATCCAACATCTTTAACCACCACACCACCTGCTGCACATAATACGAGCAAATTCATCCTATGGAAAATCCCACTGTAGCCTAATGCCCCAGGCTGCTGGCATCCACAATCACCCTTCCTACCCACCTTATCCAGTGCTATGCCCTCATCTGCTCTACTCACACACAGGCTCCACTTCCCCACCTCCAGGCCTTTGCCCACGATTTTGCCTCCACACACACAATGCCTTTCCTGAGCATCTCAACATGGCCACACATGTCCTGTACACTCAGGCTCACTGACTCTTCCTCCAAAAAGACTTCCTTGATTCCTTCTTTACTAACTGCCCATTAAAAGCTGTGTGCCAACCTGTCCACCACAACTGCCCACAGCTACATATTCTATATTTTCTGAACACCCCAAAACTTTAACTGTGCTTTTACAGCAGTATTAATCACAGCCTACTTTCTGGCATTCATGTACAATATATTATTTTCCTAATGACTTTGTTAAGTTCCTTAAGAGGCTGGGATGGGGTGAAGACAAAAAGAACCATGTTTCAACTCATTTTCTTACTTTCTACTAAACCTAGTACCATGTGTTGTCTCTAGCAGCTCTCAGTAAGTATCCTATACATAAATTAATGCATGAGTGAAAGAATGACTCCATGAATAAATGAATGTATGAACAGCAACATATGGAGAGAAAAAAAGTTAGGGATATGAGAAAAGTGATTAGTTTAGGGATTTCTTTTTCTCTAAGTAGATGAACTAGATTTGAGTAAATAGAGAGGCACACACCTTCATTCCAGCCAGTGAGAGCATGTTGTTCAGCTTATACATCCCAGACTGCACCGGTGTCGTATACAGCAGGGCGTCATTAAACTGCAAGGAGAAATATTTCATGCGACACGGTAAAACAAACTCCAGCTACAAAGATATGCTATCTTTTTGCTAATATCCAAGTAAAATAGAACCACCCAGAATTTGTTATTTGTTGTTTTGGGTTTTGCCATAGGGCATGTACAATCAATCACCAGAGAAAGACAGAGACAGAGAGAGGGACAGTAAGAAGTCACCCACGCCCCCTGCTTACCGCAACCGCCTAGAATATGTTATTAGACTATGATTAAGAAGGCAATTTCTGAAAACAATGTGCTTCCTTTCCAAGTGCGTAACAGATTAATGTTTTCTATTCTAAATCTCACTGAGATCTTACAATTCTGCCTAAATAAATGGTGAAAAGAATTCTTCCAAATTAGAAATGAAATACACCGAATTTTTAAAGGGATGAGTTAGCTGGTTATGTATAATAACAGATATTGCTTCATTTTTAAGAAGTTTATTTTCTGACTTTGATGAGGGAGCAAGAGTGAAGGGAGAGAAAGACTCCTCCCACTGCGAGCCCCTCCAGGCTCTCAACTCCACTGATAGGGGGCCAGCCACGTGGCTCCCCCAGCACTACAGAGCAGGGCGCCACCCCCTGCACCATCACAGCTGGGCATATGTTTCATACTCAAATGCACATGGGCAACACAGGCGAGCAGAGAGACTACAAAAACTGATACTTGAATGCTTTCAGGTGATCTGTTACATAAAAATGTCTCCTTCCATGGAGTAATTATCCCTGACTCCACTAGGTCAGAAGCACATGAGTTCCTTACCAGGAAAAACATCCGGGGCTGCATGACTTTCCGAGATAGCTTCATCAGAGTTCCTTCTTTGAGAAAAACCTGATGCATTCGAAGAAACACCTATTTAGTCCTACTATCATAACACAATGACAATACAATTTAATTCCCCTTTTCACTTCTCTACGAATTATTTTTGTGAAGGTGACAGAGACATAGCTACCTTGTGACTTTTTATAATCATGGTTTCTTTTCTGCCTTTCTCTTTCTCTCTTTCTTTTTGTTATAGAGCCTGGGTGCTCGCCCGTGACAGATGGAGGGTGAGGATGGAGGGCCAGGGGGGTGACCATGCCACAATCCCATCCCCTCTATTCTCCTCTCGGGATTTTGGCCATACACGCACAAGGCATGATTTTAAAGATGCCAGGGTTCGGGTTCGGGACTCAAACCAATTAGTTAGCCATATGGGATCCAGCATCTTAACCTCCATCCACCAGCTGGGCCTACTCATGGTTTCTTTGTAAGTCCTCTTTAAAAATCATTTAAGAATGGACAAGGAAGCAGTTTCACAAATCTGGTACTGGCCCTAGCGGGTACTGTGTGGACCAGCAGTAACTGACCAAGTGTATACTTGATCCTAAGGTGTGTCTAACACTCTGCCAACTGCATTTTGTAATTTTCCTGAATTAATTTCTTAGACCACTTCTATGCTCTAGGAGAAACACTGGGACACCACCCTTCCCCCCTCCTCCTAGTCTTCTTACATTAAAGATTTTAAATGAAATTGTCTGTGAAGTCAGCTGGTATTACACCATAAAATGCCCATTAAATCAGATACTCTGTGGGGTCCCTTGCCATTCTCCTCATTGAAATGGACTTCTTGTCACAGTGACTTACATCATGAATGCTTTGAACGGACAAAGCAATCAAGACTGGGTCAATGAAGAATAACAACTTATTTTCATAACTAAAATGAAGAGCAGCTACAGACGGTGCCTAAGTGCATCGTATTAAATTTGCAAAAGGACTCTAAAATGCTTACCCGCCCAGGCTGAACTATCTCATGGTGTCCATTTAAGCTGTACTGAATTTGCATAAGTTTCTGAAAGTTGTCCTACAGAAAGACAAGAAAGAGCATGAGAAGACCTGGACTGTCAGCCCCCAGAGCAACTGGCCACTGATATCAAGATACTCACTCCTTGCTTCATGGTGTCATTGGCATGGTTGGCGACTTCTATAACAACAGCAAGGGCATCTGAAATACATAAAGAGCAGAGGGCATGTTTGGTTGTTGCCAGTGAAACTCACAGTTTGCAACCTTAAATAACTTCAGATGACACAACACCTGGTTTATGGCAAGCAACCTCTGGAGCTCGGCTGACCATTGAGTATGCAGAAATAAACAACACTTTAGGAAAACATGACCCAAAGGAAGTCCCTGAAGAAACACTGTTTGCGTTTACAAACAGCATGGATGTCAGGGTTGCCTGGTGCTGTGATTTGAGCACCCTGTTGAAGTTTACAAGGATAGGATTAGATTGGTGGCTTGTGACAGACGGCAGTGATAGGAAGTGTGATGGTGAAGGTGCTGGGTTCACACATGGCCAAACACGGTTTGAGTCCTAGACCTAGCAGCTTGAAAAATTAGGCAGGGTGCATGTGTATATATTCCCCAAATCCTGAGACAAAAATGGAGAAGGAATTGTGGCATGGCCATTTTCTCTGGGGGTGGTGTGGTGGTTTCTCACTTTCCTTTTCACTGTTCCTCTTTCTCTCTCTGGTGAACACATGCACCCTATAGCAGAAACTTAAAAAAAAAAAAAAACCACTTGTGGACTAGCCCATGGCCTGGTAGTCAAGGGAGCTGGATTACACATGGCCAGATACATGGATTAAGTTCCACAACCAGCAGCTTGAAAAACATGTCAGGAACAAATGCACACATGCACAACATCTTGGAAGGAGAGAGAAACGGAGGAGAAGGAATTGCAGCCTGCTCACGCCCCATTGGGGGTGCTTTCTTCCTTTCTCTGTCTCTCTCGTGAGTACACACACCCTCAAGCAAACAAACAAAAAGCATAATACTTGCAAATTGAAGATGCTGGAGAAAAAAGGAGAAGTTAAATAATGAAAAGACTGAATATTAATTTCTAAAAAATGAGTTTAAAACTCTGTTCAATTTTTTATTCTGCCCATAATAAAATTTTTAAAAGGCTCCAAGTCTTCTGTGAATAAAACAGTTTTATATATATATGGGTTTTGTTATCAATCTGTTTTTATTTGATAGGTTCAAATAAACATTTAAAACTCCTGCAACTATGAGACAATGAAAGTAAATTACCTTGAGTGTCTCTGTAGTCTCCAGAGTCTTCTAAGAGATTCTTCAAATAATCTAGAGAGAAAAAAAAAAAAAGATAGTACTTAGCACAATAAATTACAGAGCCCAGAAAATTTATCTTTCTTATTTAATGCTTCAGTCTTGTCAGTTAATAAGCCGGTGCCATTTGAGTTGACTTTCCAAAATTGAGGAAGAATACATTTCTGAGACCAGTTAATAACACAGAATCAGAGCTGTGAAAGCCTCCAAAGTCACTCTGGCTGTTCTGCCCAGGCTAGCACCGAACTTGGGATTTTTCTGCCTCAGCTTCCCCAAATGCTGTGTACTATCAAGCCCAGCTCATATTAGATTTTTTTCTTAATTTTATAATTTCTTGTTTATGTTTAGTTGCTGTACATCTTTCTAGCTTATGTTATAGTTTTTTAAAGCATACATGCGGTGTGCATACTAGTTATTTTAAAGATGAGAAACCAGATGTTTACATTTAGGGTCTTGCCTAATCTGCGTGACTTTTGTACCAGAGCAAGGACTAGAACCCAGGTGTTTGGAGGCCTAGTCCTGCTCTTCTATCCCAACACACACAAAATACCCAGTCTCAAGATGAAGCACAATCAACTTCAAAGGCATGCATAGATCAACAGTCTGAGAGACAGGTTGGCCAATCTACGAGTCTAACAAAGGAACTCAAGACATATATCTAGGCTAGTGGTTTTCAAATGGTGGCAAACTTGTCCCCCCTCAATCATGCCAGGGGCCATGTGGCAATATCTAGAGATGCTTCTGGTTGTTGCAGTTGAGGGCAAGAAAACCCCACTGGCGTCTAGTGATTAGAGGCTACAGATGTTACTAAACATCCTACAGAGCAGCCCGACAACCCAGAATTATCCGACTCAACACATCAATACAGCTGAGGGTGAGAAACTCACATGAAGAGCATCTGCAAATAAGCAATGTGGTTGGTGCCAGCAGGTGGTGTGGGGGTTAAGGTGCTGGACTCCCACATGACCGACTATTGTTCAAGTCCTAGAACTGGCAGCTTGAAAGTCACGCCAAGCATGTGTATGTGCGTGCATGCTCAGAATGCCAGGAAAAGAATGGAGAAGAGACTGCAGTGTGGCTATGCTCCACTAGGAGGTGATCTTTTCACTTTCCCTCTTCGTGTCTCTTGCCAGCAAGCACAGGTACCCTATGCCCAAAACTTAAAAGAATTTATTTTTAATTCTACTCCTATTTTTTAATAATTGTTTTACTTTACTTTATTTATTTTTAATTTGACCAGAGAGGGACAGTAAGACTGAGAGACAGACTGAGAGACAGAGACAAAAAGAGAGAGAGAGAGAGAAAGCAAGCTGCCAGATCTGGGACTTGAACTGCGGTCGGCCATATCAGAGTCCAGCACCCTTAACCTCCATGCCACCTGCCGGCCCCATACTCCTGATTTTTTAAGTATCATCTCGAATTCCTCTTCCCCTATAAAACTTTTCATTTGAAAAAATTATTTTCTCCCTTTCAAGAATACATGACATGACAGTTACTTTATGCCTTCTATCATTTTCTTTTTCAAGCTTCTGTGGACAGGACCCACATCTGAGCCATCTTTCACAGCAAGTACTTAGCTTTGCTCTCAGAAGACAATAAATGCTTAAGAAATATTTTTGAGAAGGGCTAGCCCATAACATACAATATTATGTAATATGTATTATATAATATGTATCATATGTTATATATGACATTCTATAGTATGTATTATATTATTTAATATGTATTATAATATGTATTATATTATATATTATGTATTATACACATTGTGTGTGTGTGTGTGTGTATTTTTTTCTTTAGGTTTTTGCCATAGGGTGTGTGCACTTGTCAGAGAGAAGAGAAAGGAAAACTGAGAAATCATGCCCCCCTATGGGGGTGGCCATGCTACATTCCCTTCTTCATTTACCTCCCACGATTCTGGACAGATGAATGGACACGGACACACACACACACACACACACACACACACACACACACACACACGCCTGACATGATTTTCAAGTCACTGAGTCCAGGACTCAAACTGTGGCTGACCATATAGAAACCCAGTGCCTTAACCACCACGCCACCTGCTGGCCCCAAATGAATATATTTTTATCAGACCTAATCTCCAGTTAGCAATATTACGGAATAGATAAGAGTTGCAACTCATGGATTTATGAAGTCATGCTCCAGGGCACTAAAAGAAACCCAGATATCAGGGTGAGCTTGTCATACGTGACAGATGACACACTCACACACCTGCTGAAATTTCCTCTGTCCCTAAAACAGTGATTCAAGAGCCTGTGTGAGTCTAGTCATGCACATTATAAACATCAGCCCTGGCAGTTAAGTCATGGGGAGAGGCTGTGGATGAGCAAATTCAGTTCCTCTGTATCACGGCATGGGCTCTCTCTTGCCAGAAACCATCACTAAAACTTAGATCTCAAAGCAATCTGAGCACACAGGTTGGACAGCATATTTCTGGCCGAAAACATAGGATGACCACAGATCATAACAAATGCATTGATTATACATTATATTTATCCTCACCCAGAGACAAAGAAAAAATCAGCTTCTTCTTATTTCCCATTCAGAATATATTCTACATTTAAGACATTTTTGGGGAATCCAAATATTTAATAATTGTATGGCTAAGAGTGATAGTGTTAGGGAAACAATCCCCGTATTATTAGATGTTCTCAATGCCAAAGCTACCTCATTTGTCAACAGTGAAATTTTCACAAGACTGCAGTAGGCTGAAAAGAATGGAAGGAAAGAAGACTTACTTAAGGATCAGGTTCACAGTGAATTTCTTTTTTCTTTTCTTTTTTCCTTTTTTTTTTTCCTTTTTAGGGCGTGTGCACTCACCATAAAGACAGAGAGACAGAAAGCAAGAAATCACCCCCTAGGAGGAATGGCCACACCACAATCCCTTCTCCTCCATTCTCCTCCTGGGATCTCGGGCATGCACGCATATATGCCCGGTGTGAGTTTAAGCCACAGGGTCTGGGACTCGAACCACAGTTGACTACATAGGAGTCTAGCAACATAGCCATTATGTCCAGCAACTGCTGGTCCTGTGAGTTTCCATTTTGTCTTCAATTCTTACTCTTTTACACAGAAGTACAGCTATGCAAACTCGGATATTTCTCTAAACCAGAAGAACTCCCTAGAAGATGTTCACACTAGGAAATCTTAACCTGGGCCAGCCTGTGGCATGGTGATTAAGGCGCTGGACTTCCATGTGGTCCTCTGCAGTTTAAATCTGGACCTGCTGGCCACATGCGTGCCCAAAATCCTGAGAGGAAAATGGAGAAGGGAGGGTGGCCAAATCGTGGGGGGGTGCTTTCTCACTTTCTGTCTCTGTTTCTTTCTGGTGTACCATAGAGCAAAATTTTCTCCCTCAAGAAACAAAAACAAAAACAAAAAGAGAGAAAAAAAAGAAAAAAGAAAACTTGACCTCAGATACTGCACTGAGCCTGATAAGCTTCTGAGTTGCATTGTTAGAATTGCTGGTATTCAAATTCAAGCATGGCTACTGAACCACTGACCTGGCCTTTCAGGAACAAAGCTTGAATACCCAAACTGGCTGAGCACAAAGTCTACCACCCACACGTTGCACAAATATGCTACTAATCAAGAAAGCAACAGGCTATGTTTACCTACCATGCCAATTTTTTTTTTTTTTAATTTGCCAGAGGACACATGTGTTTGCTAGAGACAGGGGGTAAAAGAGAAGGAAGACCAGAAAGGGCTCCCCAGTGAGAAATGGTCACACTGTAATCCTTTCTCCTCCGTTTCTCCTTTCAGGATTTTGGGCATGCATGCATACAGACCCAGAGTGTTTCTCAAGCCTTCCCGTCCAGGACTCAAATTGCACAGCCTGATTCTCAATTCTTAAAAACCTCTTAATGGGAGCCAGCAGGTGGCGTGGAGGTTAAAGGCGCTGGATTCCCACATAGCTGTCTGTGGTTTGAGTCTTGGACCTGGCAGCTTGCTTTCTTGTTTTCCCTATCCCTCTGTTTCTGTCTCTATCTGGTCAAATTAAAAAATAATAATTGTAACAAATGGAATTAAATAAGTCAATAATTAAAAAACAAACAAACAAAAAACACTTAATGATCTCCAAAATTCAGCTTTTCAATTTATTGATCTATCATTCATCCATGTTATTAGGGCATCTGCCTGCAATATACTATTAGTAACTTTGACCTTTTCAAAGACAGGACCATGATCCCTTCCATAGACATGAATCACCCAGTGCCGGGGCCAGCAGGTAGCATGGTGGTTAAGGGAGCTGGACTCCCACATGGCTGACCGCGGATTGAGTCTCGGACCTGGAGGCTTGCTTCCTCACTTTCCTACTCTCTCTCTCTGTCTCTCTTACTCTGTCCCTCAATGGTCAAATAAAGTTAAATAAAGTACTTCTTTAAAAAAAAAAAAAAAGAAAGAAAGAATGACCCAGTGCCATAAAGACAGCATGAGGAGAACTTGACTGCTCGCCCTCTGACTCAGACGGGAGGAGCGATGAAACCGCCTGTTGTGCCAGTGACTGTTACAACCACGGTGAAACCCAGGCAAAGGCCCAGACAGACACACCTGCATTGGTCATGGGGAATTCTACCTACCACCTGGTACTCCGCGGAAGCTATTGTAGTAAGTAACAATGACGAGAGCAGTCATTCCGGCCTGCCACATTGGACTTGAATATTCTATGACTTCTCAACTTCTGCCCAAGCAAATTAGGCATTGTTCAAAAGTTCACTAATAAAAAGGCTTCAAGTGCCACTATGGTTATTTTTATTAAAGAAAAAAAGGGAAGGTCCCTGCCCTGTGCATGAGCATCATAAAATGAACATTCTGGCCGCCAGGTGGCACCACGGATTAATAAAAATTCATTCTCACCCAGTCACCGCCATGGCTCAACATTAGTATCCCCAAATGAACTGCCAACATACTACGAGCAACTCTAGGGATCCGCAATGAACTTTTCTCGTGTATCAGGCCCAGGATAAAAGGATGAAGGTCTGACA